TAATGTAAAATTAGTAATAAGTGTACGACTCGAGTCATCATCCATTACCACAAGATCTTGGTTAGTGTGACGTCGAAAAAAAAAAAATTTTTTTTTTTTTTTTCTGAGTCACATTAGCACATGGTAAAAAAAAAAAAAAAAAAAAAAAATTCACAGACATAAAGCTACGTTATAAACGTCTGGTTTTTTTTTTTTAAGTTGTATACATTGTACAAAATAATATTTTTCAACTTTTTTTTTTTTTTTTTTTTACGCTGAAACTGATTAGTATTAAATTTATATTTTCATCAAACACCCCCAAAAAAAAAATAAATAAATTACCAAAGTGCAAATAACAAATGCTTCAAAAAAAAAAAAGTATTTTTTTTTAAATTAAAAAATTTAAACATCTTTATCGAAATTTCGAAATTAAAATTTGTATGAAAATATAATTACATACATTACATTTTCACAATTCCTCATATTTGTTTTATTTGAAAATGTTTTTTTAACACAAGTTTCCTTGTTAAGTAAATTAGTATCACATTATAATCAACACCTGTTATTGCTTTCATTACAAACCTAATATGTATTTTGGCATTGGATATTTTAGTTTATCGATTGAAATAGTAAATTCATAACAAGTATATAAATACACACACACACACATAAATTTAAACCTTATCTTTAGAATTCAAATTATCAGATTTTAAATTTTTATAAATTACCTTTTATTCGTTTCATGTTACACATGTGAATTTTCATCCCTACTAAATATTCGAAAAATTAATAACTTCAATTATAACATCTGTTATTGCGACAAACCAATATTAAATGAATTTATATAAAAATTTAATTTTTTTGTAAATAAAAAAAATTACAAAAATTGGTTTATAATACAAATTTACATCTGAAAAATAATTTTATTTATTTTTTTAATTTCAAAAATAAAGTAAAGCCTGCATTCTTAAAATCCCTCTTACTCAAGTGCAATTTAAAAAAGAAAAAATTATTAAATACTCAACTGTAATTATACTTTAAGTATTTCGGAGTTTAAGACCTTCAAATATAACATGTATTTCAATAATTAAATCATATTTCTAATAACATACAGCATACTTACATATATAAGACCAGAAAAATATCTATCCTTCAAATTATGCAGAACAGATGCTTCATTTAAACAAGTAAGATCTGCCATATCTTCCACCTTATCGTATTTTGGAGGATTCATTCTTTGGATATCATCTTTAGCAACAAATTGCTTTTTGCCGGTTTCAACTATCTCAACCTCAACTTCATCACCTCGCTCTCCTTTGATTCCGGCAGCCACAAATCCATGAGTTTCGTGAGGGACCCAAACCAAACGTTTTTGGGTCCACTCAGCTTGCGTTGTTGGGTCATTGAAAGTATTCCTATCGACAGACAAAAACTTTAAATCGGGATCTGACCTATCTACTTTTGTATCATCTGCCGCCATTTTGAATTTTTAGGTTTTTTTTAACAAAAATAGAAATTAACAAAGCCGGTGTTCCTTCACTATTACACTCACAAATATGCATTCACTTATCACACATACACTTAGTTTAAAAACATTAAATATATCTTTAAAATAAATCATATGACTTAATTAACTATTTGTATCCATGAACCCGAATATGATCTGAACAACTCCACGACGTGGTGACAGTTGACGCGGAATGCGATGATGGCGACTCCCTATAACCGGCTGGACAAAGACGCCCGCCCAGGAGTCACATGATCAAGTAGTTAGAATAATAGTCGTTAACAGCAGCACTTACCAATACTATGACAAATAAAGGGCAAAAATGGAATATTTTCCTTATTTACTTATTTTCATTAATTTTTCAGTAAAAATTTCTTAAAATCAGAGCTCACCCTAATATTATGTACATTTTTTATTTCCTTGAAAAATCTCTTACTTATTAAGTTTCTTATTAATTAAACTCATATTGTAAAATACTTTTCTTTTTTTACAAGAACAAAAAATTTGTTGATTATTATTTATTTCTTTTTTTATTTCACAGTTATACCTTTTTTGCGCTTTTTTATTTATTTTTATTATAAAATGGCTCCTATATTAGTTACAAATTTTGGAGTTAAATTTTTAAAAATATTAAGGAGAAGCAGGTAAAAACATACGTAATTTTATTTTACAATTGTAAAATATTTTTTGTGCGATAAAAATCATTTTTATTTATTTTACATCATATTGCGAAAGTTTTTTTAATCATTATAAAAAATAGAGCCATGAACTTAAATGGGCACCTAAACTGAAACAATACTAATTTATTTTAAGACACATTAATTAAAATTATTTTAATATTTAATTTACATAATATTATTTTAGGATCTCAAATAATAATTGCCTGCAATTTAGAGCATTTTGTTCGAATAATGAAATGGAGAAACCTGTAAGATACACAACTAGTCAAACAGCAAAAATTGACATTAAGGAAAACCTAGGATTTAATCAAAAAGATGAAAAGGAATTATGGTATAAAAAATATGTAATAGCAATCAGTCTTTCTGCTTTCATGATTTACTTTTTTATAATTCGTGATGAAAATGATATCGATGATTTTATTACAAACAAAGACAACTGTAATAAATACACGACATTATTGCAATTAACTATGAAATTAGAGTATTGTATGAAAAATAATTTACCTACTAAGGCTTTAGAAAGTCAAATTAATGATTTAAAATTAGAATTAGGAATTACTGACAAAAATTAAGTCCTACAATTAAACATTAGAAGAAGCATTTAAAATGCCATTTATACTCCAAAAAAAAATTTTTTTGTCATAATATTGTAAAAATAAATTTGTATTTAATTATTAATATTATTGTAATTAAATTTTATTTTTTCCTTTATTATTTATTTTATTAGTTCCTTTTTTTTAGTATACCATTATGATTAAGTTTTTATGTATTTTGATCAGTAGATATATTAATCGTTAAAATAAAATTTATCTATTGCCACGACAAAATGAGCTTTATGACTATAAGTTAATTTCAGATAGATAATTGTCCGTCAGCTGTAAAATTATTATTACCTTTAAATGGTCTATAAAATAAAATTATTCAGTAAT